ATTTGTGCTGTACAACCAAACGAGGGTTAAAGCCAGATCTCACTCGGTGTGACAATTAAACAGCCTCTGTAACTTTCGTTCTTGAACTCTTGCTCTCTTACCAGAAGCAGATCGTTAAGGGGGAACTGGGGGATCCCACCACTGGACAACTCCACGTACTGGCCAACGGCCTCAGACATGTCCAGGATGTTGACCTCATTGATGACGATGGGAGGTGGAGGGCAGACGTTGGTCATCCCCGGGGAAGGAGGGCCCTCAGCGTACGCCAGGACCTCAAACGCATTTCTTGAGTAGCACCGAAGGATTGCTGTTTCTCCTGTAAGCATTGGTTAAATAAGCTTTTTCCTCTACAATTCACAATCGTCAATCATTACCATCTCAAATATCTCCTGACTCATTTATCTGGAGAGTTTCAAGCCATTCCGCCACAATATAACTAGCAAAAAGCTTAAGCAGCTCTCTGCTAACATTGACCATATCATCTTAGACCTACGTACATATAGTTTTTCTTTCTTTTCCTCACGAGTCACTAGTTGCCCGAACCACTTTTGAGTTCACTTCTAAAGGAATCTTTCAAAATGCAAATAATTAAGAACCTTGAATCCACAAGTCATTTTTTTGCCCTGAAGTCAAACTGAATGATACATTAAAATAGGACTTCAGTTTGCTTTTTCTAACACAAACCAGAACAGAATTACCAAGAAAAATGACCTTCAGCCTCATCTTGTGACATCCAGTCACGAATGAGTTTGACAGCAATCCACAAAGTAATGGTGGCTGAGGTCTTAAGTACTTAATCCATCAAAAACAAGCTAACCTATGGCTTTGGATAATGTACTTGGTTACGGCTGTTAGTCCCCCATGAGCCTCTAGGAAATGGGCACGGCTGCTAGCTAGTGGCTACCAGAGAATTAAACATTGTGGCAGCCATAGCCACTTCATTTAGACAAACCTTATTGAGTGATTCTATAGCAGTAGTAAAGTCATTTGTTTTAGTACCTGCAGCGACCGTGTACTTCACCTCACTCTGGCCCGGGGTGAGGAGATCTAACAGCAACAAGTTGCTATCCCCATAGACCACGGCATCTATCAGATTGGCAGAAGTGGCCAGAGTACCGTCGGGAAAATCTGCCGACGAACCCTGCAACGAGTGCAAATGATGAAAAAAACTTTTGTGAGTCTGTAAATGAACCGTGACCAGCTTCTACAAAGGCAGTGGGAGCTTCCTGGCCCTGGTGTGGCGCAGAAGAGCAGAAGGAAACATTGTGTTCTGTGAGGTGACACAAACATGCAGTCAATGGCAACTTCTATCAGTCTGAATGAACACCGCCACAGATCACCAGAAACATTTCTCCCTCTGACCTCTGAAAAATACAAGCCCCAAAGTGTAGCAAAGAAAAGAGTCAAAGTCATCCTACCCTCCTGTGCATTTTTTTCGAACCCTCTGAAAGTTTAGACAGATGCGTGGCACACTCTGTACTCTTTATCCGTTAAGGTGCATCGAAAACTATAGACAGTTCTCACCCACTCCTGTTGCAAAGCATACACCTATGGGTGATTTTTTAATAGGTGATAAAAGTATCAACTGGTTTCAAATACTCTCCCAGTTGCATTTGAAATTTGGACTCCTTTTTGTATGTAATTTAACCCTCATACATGAAGTCATCATTATCATGTATATATACACAATTCAACCAAAACGCCGCATTACATCAACTCAGAATTTCACTTTACACAGCACACTGCACACAAAATCTCAATGGCCCTAATCATTCCCGACGTCCATCTCAGCTCCCAACGGGGAACATGCACAGCCACTCGGATCACAATAAATGTGACCAACTCTACAAATAAAGGCCCTCAACTCACGCTGTGCCTCCTCATGCAACAGACCATTCTATACACCTGCCAGAGATCAAGTCTAACTTTTACTGTACCTCGGGAATAGAACGTGTGACAGAGGTCAAAAATACACAAACTTGATTTTTATTAAAATGCTTCTCTATCTATGGGCATCACTTAAAATCAATTTGTCACACATAAGCCTGAGGGCCTTTTTCACAGAGCCAGTCACAAATGTTTCTGCCCTCATTATAACGAGGTACCAGTAGGAAACCAATTTCCTCCTGGATGGTGAGAGAGACAAGTTGGGAGTCGGGGACACAGTGACTCGCCTAAAGTCACAAATAACCACCTGCTGGACTGAGTTACAAAACCTACATACATTAAAGGTTATATAACCACTGAGCCATACAACCCATTCCACTTTTATCGTTGTTGGTACTTATGGCAGACATTTGAACCAAGATATGGGATGGAGAGAACCCCCCCCCACCTTTGTGTTGGTCATTGTTTGATCAGAATCTCAGGAATTCTTTACAGACTTCTGGGGGATGTGTTAGGTAAAAATAGTCTAGAGTGTGTGTAGGGATTGGACAGGTAAGGGGGGTACCCCTCGGTCCCATATCTTGCCTGGTATAATGGCAGAAACTACAGACTGGTAAGAGCAACAGAAGTTTGACATTAAACTACATGTAAATCATAGAGCCAGGACCCAATGAAGGCTTATCAAAAGGCACTCGTATGTACAACGTACAAAACTGCAAAGTTCAATCATGCTGCTTCTTCCCCTCAGGCAGGTAACAAATCAGTGGCCAGCCATTACAAAGCTCTTGTCATTTACACAGTCTGAAAGAATTCAGAACATCGGTTGAGTAGAGTGCAACCAATGGGCATACCTTGTATATGGCCACTGCACCGGTGTTACCATCAAACCAATGGATCTCGCTGATCAGTAACCGTGACGACTGGATGGAAGAGGGACCAATCACAAAGAATCCATCGGCATCAGTCTGGTAGTTGTGCAAATCAATGGCTCTGTAGGAGCTGCAGGGAATGTGGAATTTTTCAGCGTGGGAAAAAAAGGGTCAGTTATGAAAATGCCAAAGGATCACAGGCAACTGCACCACCACAGGAATGAGAAAACAACCTTCAGATTATCCACGTCATTTACAGTGAAATGCATTTCTGCTAAAAAAAAATATTTGCATCCACGCTACACTTACATGTACATGAACATCTGCACCATACAATTTCTTTTAATCAAACTGCTAACCAGATTCGTTTGGACTTATTTCTAAAATGTTTTAGTTTTTGAGGATTTCTAATCAGGACCATAAGATCTGGTGCTGGTCAGGCAGTGCCCACAAATGTCTGTTTTTTCCCTCCAGAAGTGAAATCAGATAATTTCTCATGGAATGATTGTTAAAATACGCATCACAAAATACTTGAACAATGACACTTCTGTCGTGTCACTTTGAGATGAAGGCAGAAAAAAAGATTTATAACGCTTTCAAAATGCATTGGATAAAATGACAGGACAAATGCATTTCAAACATGTGGCTCATGCATGGTTTCTGGTGTGTCCTAACACACCAACTCACAAACGAACTCACAAAACTTGGATGCTGCCACAACCCTACAAGAACACAAACATAATTAAAACATGTAGATCGTATCAACTTGTGCATATGCGTAACACTACATAACAGTTTCCAACTAGGAGGGCCCGGCTTATGACTGTCTCAGTGATATCAGTGACTCTCATTTGAGACAGCAGCAGGAAGTCCCCCCCCCAAGGTATTGATAACAGTCTCATTCAAGTTGCCATTCATTGTGCTCTTGGTTAAATGTTACCTGGTCATATCACATAAATGCTATGCTGACGCCAGCACAGCAACCAATGACAAAAGGGTAAATGTGCCCATTGCAGAGGTTGCACCCTCTCATGCTCATCGGACTCTTGGGTGTGATGCTTTGTTGAAAGGAAAGGATTTTTTGTTTAACAGATCTTTACCTTTCTCCTTGGGTTCTGTAGAGGACAAGCACCATGTTATCCAGGGGGATTTGACCGAATCCACCATCGTAGAGTTCCACAAAATCTCCCTGAGGCAGTCCGGGCTGGACGATCCGAATCTCATTCAGGCGAAGTAGATCCATGTAGTGGTCGATGGTTTCGACGTGTGTCACGTTGTTCTGTAGGCAATCTGCATTGATGGCTCCCGGCGAAGCTTGGCCCACTCCGAAAGACCTTGAGTCCAACCGTTGGCAGCAAGAGCACCGACTGATGGACCGGTCCCCTGACGAGGTGCTGCTTCCTTCTTCGTTCAGGATGGGTTGATGCGGAAGGAGCACATGAAGCAGATCCAGAGCGGGGCCTTCCCCGTACACAACAGCATCGATCAGATTGTAGTTAGTGGCAAAGCTTCCTTTCCTGAAACGCTGAGGTGGGCTCAAATGGAGAGCAATGGCGTCAGGTCCCGGTTGAAGAAAACCGACGTTGACGTCAAATTCTAGACCGATGTCAACATTAGTGCCGTTCATCCATCCAACCACGCAAAATCCTTGGACATTAGTACTATAGCCCGTCAGGTCAATTGCTTGATAGGAGAGGGAGGTTCTTCCGTTGTAAAGGACGAGAGCAATGCCATCGAGGGGTTGCTGACCAATTCCACCATCGAAGATCTCAATAAACTGATTGGTCTGTGCATTTTCAGTGGCCACATTGACTTCATTGATAACAATATCTGGGAGGGTACACATGTTATCCCCACCCGGGGTTTGAATACTACTGGTGAAGGCTTCCAAACGGAGACGCTCAGATGATCTACATCGACTCAAGGATGTATTGACTTGGTTTGCTGGTTGAACGAGAGGCTGGCGACCAGGGGAGAGAATGTTAACAAGGGCACTGTCCTCTGGGTTCGAGGCATCACCATAGACGACTGCATCGACTAAATTAACCCCAGTTACAGGGGTATTGCGTTCAAACTTGCTGGGGTCATCAAAGTACAAAGCAATGGCATTGGGAGGTCTGTTTGTCTGAAGATTCCACCTGAGCTCAAACTGAGGTTGTTGACTGGCCTGGCCGATCAGGAAGTAGCCATTTTCGTCAGTCATTTGACCATCCAGGACGATGGGGCTACGGTACGATGCTTCATTCCTCCCACGGTAGGTTACGACGATCAAGCCATCCAAGACTATCCCGCCGACACCGCCGTCGTACAGCTCGATGAATTGGCCGGAGCCCTGGTCAACACTGAACTCGTTGATGGCAATGTCTGGGTAGATGTTGGCCATGTCTGGTGGGAAGGACGGGAGATTGGGGAATCCCCCTGGAATGGTAGGCATCACTATCGGGGTCTCATCTGCCGTGCAGTTGTTGGGACCACCTGGGGTGATTGGGGTCAGCCGGAACTGGGACAGTGTCAGAGGGTCTGTTCCACCACACCTGCTTAGGGATTCGTCCTCTCTCCTCAGGTGTTGGCGCATCTCATCAAGAACCTGCTGGCCAGGTGTCAAGACATCGAGAAGAAAACTACTGTCCCTTCCTCTGTTATCGTACACTACGGCATCCACCAACCTGTCAGCGGTGACAGACATGTTCGCAGTGAACAGGCTTGAACTGCCGTGATACAATGCGACAGCATCCACACCGTTCTGCAAGATGTCAATGCTGGAACTGAACGTCTGGTCTGGTACAGGACTGACAAAACTAGAGCCAATCACAAAGTAGGTATTTGGCCACAGAGTCCTGTCTTGCAGTGGTATGACAGCATATGCGGCATTAGTAGAACCATCATACAGTACGATAACATAGTCAGCTAACGATACCTGGCTGTCACCACTATTGTAGAGCTCAATAAATTCCCGAGTGTCTATTCGGGTTAGACTGTCAGCGTTCAACTCGCTAATCACAACTCCTGCTGAAACTAACTGGACAAAGCACACTGCCCAAAGCAGTAGGCCTACTAGCAATGTCCCATTTCCCAGCTGCATTTTGTCCATTCTGAAAGGAATCAAATTTAAACTAATACTTAAAATGTATTGCAACAATTATGTCCAGTAACACGGGCTCTGCAATGGTACACAGTGCTGGTACATGTATGTCATTTGTTACATTTAATTCCTAAATATTCTTAAATCGACAATAGTTTTGGTAGTGTCTAAGTTAGAGTCTTCACTGCCTCATTTAGCAAGGCATCCGAATGGGACAAAATGTCTCTTACAAACAAAACTCTGGCTGTGGGTTATCACCGTGACTAACCCTTGGCCTACACACTATCCTGTGAACATGTGCCACAGTGACATCTCAAATCAATCCAACAGCATTAAACCGGTGCCCTTGCTTAAAAAGGGGCACGAGTGAAGGTCACACTAAAGACCTGAGACCTACAACTGCAGGCCATGTTCCACATTGAGCAGCTGTTACATCCCCCCCCCAACCAGCTTCAGACATTACAGGGGGAGCCACAGTATCAGCTACATGTGGGGGGGGCCAAATTATGTTATGCATTTTACTGATGGGGGAAGCAGCTTCCTGGGGGGGGGCATCCCCTCATGCCCCCTTAGGCCCCTCCCTTAGTGACAGACTGGGCAATGGCTAGGAGTAACACAAGCACCTATGGCAAGTAGCAGTCCTGAGACACTAGCCAGAAGCATAAGCACATGTGGTATCTAAAGCCATAGCCACAGACCCATTCTGAGTCAGATTCTCAAAGAGTACCTTCAAGATCAATGACCAAACATGCTCAGAAGCAGCTGGATTGTATCTCTTCGTAATTCATCAGTTTAACAAGTGTCAAATGCTGAAAGTTCCAGAATGGAAAGTCCACTGTCAGCAACTTGATGGCCAGCATGTAACCCGAGACTGACTTGGCATTGATGACCCACTGGCCTTCCTGCCAATACACTGATCACTCAGTGACCTGTGATTGCATTGTCCATTCATCCATGTATGTTAAGTGGTAGAATATTTACCAGTGAGAATTTTTCTGGGTGAAATTCCCTTGAAATCATCAAAATCAAAGGTTGGAAAGTCTGCAAATATTATGCACAAGAGAGCTTCTTTTTCCCCAACATGGATTAGTCATAATGTTCAAAGTTTGAAGCACAGCTAATCCGTCTGTACAGTTTTCAAGAAATGAAAAATTACTTCATGGTAGCATTATTTAATACCACTCAATACAACTAAGGACACACATATTGATTTGTAAATTTTCAATCAAAGTCAAGTTTCTGCTGAATGCACGTTTTTGCAAATACTTACTTTTTCTCAGTGAATATGTGCACTTTTTTTCCTGCCAAACACTTTTTTCTTGCCAAATAATGCTACTTCATATCTTAATCTTATTATTTTTAATTATGTATTCAAAATATCAATTTTTATTACTTGCATAAGTTTTCTTTCCATTTGTTTTTTGTGATCAATTGTTTCTGCTTTGTCATTCATTCTTCCACGCTTTTATTACCCCTTTAACCCACATACGCTAGATTGCCATTTGCTCACTTGGAGAATGAGAAACAGACAACATCCCTCAGACTTGGCAAAATGCGCTCTTCTTCTTCACGTTATTGTGCAGCAACTTTGAATTATTTCAAAGAGTATAAAAAACTCTTTTCCAGCAATTGATTTGTTTCTTCATTTGACCCCTATATCCATGACCTTTGACCTTTTGAAATGAGGAAAAGTAAAAAAAATAGGGGGGGGAAGGCCTGTATTGTGTACAAAAGAATATATTTTCCTTTGAAAATGATATCAACCATCAAATATGCATACACTGCAGAAACACTAACCAAAGCTCTAAATTATACAGCATTTATTCAAGTTTACAACAATTCGACATAATCAAGGGATCGGTAGTCCTGATCAGCTGTTAGCAGTTGTTAGCTGTGTTGTTAGTGATGATCGAACACGTTGAAAGCACCAGTGTAACCATGACCGTTTTTTGTTGTCATTTTGGATTTACTTTGCCACATTTCAGTTTGCAAGAATGCCTCTAAACATCGCCATACAGGTAACTACATGTACCTGTGCAACGTCAATGTCAATTGCAAGATCATCTAAAGCTTCAATTTTAGAATCACTGGCATCAGTTTCTTGCAGAACTTCTTTCATAGTTAGTCTTGCCGTGGAGCTCCGACAACGGTTGCAAGTCGCACACTATTGTGCAAGTACATGTACATTCACCGTACTTGTCAGACACACGAAACTTTTGAAGAAACTGGATGCTCTGACTTTCGAAAGGTCATCTTTCTTTATTGCATCTGAAAGGGGAAGTTCCAAGCTTCACAACTGTAGAGGTCGCTATTCGCATGCATTAATATAATACCGCACAACAAAAAGGGAACTGATTTCGGGCGGTTTTGGGCACAAGAGGGACTAAAGGGTTCATATTTTGCTTTATTTTATCCATTTTTGTTGAGCAAATGTTTTTTGTTTTTTATGTTTTTTTTTCCTTCTTTTTACGTGAAATTCAAATTTAAGTGTTTCTTGTATAATTGAAACTTTTAATATTGACTTACTAGCGAACCACTGCAATTCAGCCTGCCTGCGAGAATGGCTTTTGATGAATAAACCTTCAGTTCATTTCAGGATCATTTATAACTGAAGTCTGTACAGTCAGTGTCAATTTGGCATCAATAAAACCTGGCAGAACACTTTCATGGTTACAAACCCACGTAGAAATCAGTGTTTCACATTCCAGTTTCTTTTGAAATCATGTTTTCAAGCTCACAAAGGCAGCAAGAGGTAGAGTTACTAGCAGAGATTTGAGTTGTTAACCCTAACACTCCTCAGTCCTCCAACAGGTGAAGGATTGAGGAGGGTTAGGGTTAATTACATGTACACGGCAGTGTGAAGAATACCCACCTACACATGTACATGTATTAGACAATCTGATAACATTTGTGAGCAAGTTTTACTTCAAATGGAGTTGCAACATTGAGAATTAAAACATTAAAACCGGGTGAATTCAACACTCGGGTGACTAGGTGTCATTTAACTGACAATGTCTAACATTAAAATAAAAGCTAATTCAAAAGAAATCTAAATGAAAATACACTTTTCTCATAAAATATTCATTTTGTACCAATGCTGCAGGTCTCTGCAAGTACCCATAACATTTTACCATATTCCTTTGGCAATATTTGAGTACTTGAGAATTGCAAGAACATTAACATGAAGCAGGTCTCTGCGAAGTGTACAGGGCTGTTTCAGAATAGAATTTTAAGATTTAAAAAAACGCCGAGGATGGAAATAGCTGTTTTCAATTGGTAACCAAAAACAGAAATCAACGTACCTGCATGGAGTGTGCGCACACTGTGGGTGACTGTTGCCTTACAAAATGGGCTCTTTGCTGTTGGATACAATGCACATCAATGAGTATTGATGTGCATGGATTCTTTGCTCTATGCTCACAGCAAAGGGGCTCATTCACAAGTCAAGTCAAACGAATGAGATATTGTGAGACCAGAAAGACGTTAAGGCATTAGCAGTCACTGTTACTAGGCTTTAAATCCTTGGCAATTGTGTTTATGTTGTACACTGTACTAACAAAGGTGGTGGGAAATGGAGTACGTACCCACAAGAGCATGGGACAAGAGATATGACACTGAATTTGCAAAGGCAAACAAATAGTGGCAGTGAGGTGGTTCAGTGGTTTCTAAAGAATTTGTTCATTATTTACAATGTTCTTTTCAAGCAGAGGTTGGTAGAGAGATGCAACATAATTATATGTCTGGACATTCTTATGACACCCTGAGGGCTATTTTGGACTGCTTGTTTTGTTACTAAAAGACTTCAATGACCTTGTGATTTTTTTTTCCTTTTTTTCAATTCAGGGCCTAATATTGTAGCTCTATTCACCAACCTGGACTAAGACCCTGGAACTTCACTGTGGGTTTAGTGCCTGTACTGGTACAGTGTGGCCTTGATGTGTCTGGGTCAGACCAAAGTTGCACAAGTCAGAAAAATTTGGCCATCAGAACAGAAACTCTAGACTGTGCAGTGGCTCAGCTGTGGATGCCACAGACACATTTTATATGGCTCAAGTTAATTAAAGCATTTTATCTTAGGCAAGAAACATTTGTCAAATTCTTGAAAGGAAATTTGCACTGTGCAAACATAAACGACCGTGAACTGTTGACCTTAAAGGGGTCTGTGATGTGAATTGCCCTTGAATTGTCCATGGGAGTATTCGGCACAACTTTCTACAAACTTTCAAATGTAACTGAACTACATGTATGTGACGGGTACCCCTTTCAAGTAAATATCATTCTAGCAATACCATTCTGAGTTGTAAACTGAACATCTAGACATTAGAATTTTTCACAGGATATGAGTGCATAACAAACTTTGTTAATGGTAAAAATGTAACCATGTACAGTGTACAAAGAAGATCACTCACGTGGGTAATTCCAGAAATTAGGTGTCCATTTTTTTGTGTCCCTGTCACATTTGACGTATGATTTTATAAGTTCAAAACACATTTTCTGATTTCTAAGAGTGATGAATCAATGCAAATTACATGCCAAACAAATAGTAATTGTTTGAAATCAATCCCGGTGATATTTCCATGCCAAATAACAAAGGTCAGATGTAACAGGGACACGAAAATTTCACTCTTTTGGACCCCTAATTTCTGGACTTAACCAGGTACACGAATTGCCATAGAAGCCTGAAGTACTCACTGATAAAGCAGTTTGGCAATTCTACTTGTCTAAGAAAGTTAAGAAAAAGTCAGAGTGCACCATGTAAATTTGATCTTGAGTATGCTACACTCCCCATTCCTCCTTTCTTCCATTCAACTGAAGACGCTAAAAATGGGGGGGGGGCAGTCAATGTTGCATTGAGCTAGGCAGGTACCCCAAGAACTATAGGGTTCCTTGTGCATTATCAGACTGTGCTCCCACGAGCGTGGCGGCCGACACATGTACTTAGCAGGAAATTTCAAGTATCCCTTCTTTTAACCCGCTACTGACTTCCACAAAAGCATTTTTATGCATGGGCCTAAATACTTCAGTATTTTCACTGCTGAATTTGACATTTAGGACATACTAGAATCACTTTCTGATAGCTCATATACCATGGAAAGGGAAAATAAGTGATGTTCGTATATAGAACTCTTACAGGTCCTGCATGCTGTGGCACCATTTTTTAGCCTACTACTTCAAGACCATAGAGCTACAGTAGCTCTATGTTCAAGACGACCTTGCAATAAGGCAAGCATTCATATGGGCGGTCAACGGTCCTATGCTCAATGCATGGTCTTTCTCCCTGTTACTGCTTAGCTTAGCTGCTGTGCAACACGTGCGTTATTGCAGCAGCCTTGGAGTTGGATACGGTGCTAGCGCAAAAAATGTTTTAATTTGTGACTCGTTTCAACGCTTGAAATAACAGTTTTTTGGGGGTTGTAAACCTCATTACTAGTAATTCTCGTTGGATTAGTACTCACCTCCGCTGAAGCAATCGTTCAGAGATGGAGAAGCTCAGCCGTCACTACCGCTGCACCAATTTCACGGTCATTGAGTACGTCATAACGTGGTGGTACCTCGTACGAACCCCCTGATGAGAGTACCTACGTGCTTGTCATTTGAGACCACGTTCCCACCACCAGCCTCGAACACACAAGGGACCACCTTGGAATAACAACGTAGTAACCTCTTTCAAAGTGCAATGGAAAACAGCCCAACGGGTCTTTTTCTGTCAGCTCTTTTAAAATCCCTAACACGTTTATCAGATGTCAGTTTACAAGTTGTTTTGAAGGAACTTAAGACTATGATTTCAAGGAAGCCGCTTCCATTATCACGCCTGCATCATCAGTGGTTTCTGCTGTGCATTCATGCAGTTTCCAACCACTGATCGTCGCCCCTTACGGCAGTGCATTGCCGCAGTAACGGGTTTGTTATTTAAAGTCGGATAATTCATGGATGATTTCAGATGAAATGTCAAACTTTCAAACACAGTGCAACCATTACAAGTCCCAGAATGAAAGGCAGTCTCAAAGCCGGGCTATCCCATTTCTATTCTTATACACACTGTACACTTGCGCCTCATAAATTTACATTCACTTGAACAGAATGCGTTGACTTCCATTATTTGAATCTTTTCCCTTTTTTCTCCACCTCAAATCATATTTTTCTCAATCCTACAGTAATTTGAACCGTTCTTCTTCATTTCTATCAAAGGCTTCAGCAGCCTTTTCACTTTAGATGACTGAAATCAAAATTTTACATATCGATTTGACAAATATAAGATGGGGGCAAAAGCTTGACATATTTATTTTTGGAAATCAGTCATATTGGTGGGTTTCGTCCTGCACACTTTCTCAATCAATTCTGTCCTCAAATTCTGTATTGGATTTAAGTTCAGGTTTTGAAAAATGGGTTGAAATCCCTTCAGTTATTATTGAGATCGTTACTGAATCGATGGTTATCTTACAAGACAGTTTGGATTTACAAACTGTGGTTAAAAGCAATAAAACGAGTAATAGACAATACTAGAGTATGCTGTATGTAAACATTTGACACACCACTCATCCACTTTTGTCACATCATGGGGTGACATTGTAAACAAAGCAGACAAAGGTGTAAAAGGTTGTAGTAACCTTGGAGAGAAGTAAACGAGAATTATTACAGAATTGGAAAGCAGAGAAGAGGTATGAAATTAACTGTATTCTGCTCATGTGTATATCAACTTTTGGACATGACTGCGTCTACAGTCAAAAGTTGATGTAGATAAGAGTAACCTGGTGGGTGAAAAAAATCCATTTCTGTAATTGGAGATGTGACGCATAAGGGTTTGCTTCCAGTGGTGGAAAATCCTCATCTTCCTTTGCAATTTGCCCAAGAATATCTTAACATGGCTATCTGCCAATTAAAATGATTCAGCCATGAGCTATATACTCACAGAGAAACAAGCGAACTGACACTGTTAGTTTATCTAGCAGAAAAATTTGGATGGAATTTTCACTGATCCATGACTGACTCCATACAACTAATTACTGCTTATTTGGTGTTTATTTGGGCTCATTAAAGAGAAAATACAAATAAATTATGAATAATGTTGTTTGCAATTAATTTTGATCATGATTGTGTTATTTCTTTCCTTGTTTTCTGTGGATGTAAAATTCTCTTATCCTAGCCACAGCTCTGCCTGTTGACTTTGAAATTCCTCCAATGAATTAAAAAAAATTAACAAAGACAACTCATTACTTCACTGTTAAATGTCCTCACCAACTTGACATTTATTTTTAATATAATTATCAATATCAAGTACCAGCGTATAGAATTGTACAAGAGGTACTTAAATAACCAACCTTGCAAAAGCTGGTACAGCGTAAAGTGCACATATATACAAAATCTGTTATCTTTAATTATTAAAAGAAAAGCCACAGTGGTATGTTAATATTAGAAGTACAAAAGATCTGAAGAGGTAAGCAGAGAAGGAATTTGTGAAACAGATATGATTCAAAATTTCATGTGACAATCCACAAATGAAAACAGAAATAGACACGGTGCTTAGTAATATGCTGGCATTCTTTTGAATAGAGGGTTTGTATGACTGTCGTCTTGCAGTCCAGGGCTTTTGTTCCACAGGGTATACACAAAAGAGGTTTCCCTATGGAACAAAAGAACCGCCCTGCAAGATGGCTGCCATGCAAAGCCTCTATACTCAAAAGTCAAGTTGCGCAAAGTATCTGCTGTTATATTTGACATCCAGAACCTTAAAATGTCATCCAGTGTCAATCATTTAGGACTTGTTGCCAGATGTGGGCCATTACAGGTGCAGATTCAGCGTTTACCAAAGGGAGGGCGCCCAAGTTGAGATAAACCCAAACATACGAGTGTGTGTATTTTTTCAGTGGCATTCACTGTTGGTAAAGTTATTGAATAACCAGCTGAGGGAAAGATGAAGAACTAGAGCAAAGGAAATTTGTCTTTCTAAAAGCAAGAAAAAAATGAAGGGGTTGAGGCAACAGGGGTGGCTCCTTCTGGAGCAGCAACTGCATTATTAGGAGTCAAAACAGCGCATTAACACAGACAGCCATCTTGGAGTTTTGTTCACCAGAGATACATATTAAAATAACAGCAACAAAAACCTTTTAAGATGTTGATGGCTGATGTATGCACAGGGTCCATCACAACCTCAAATAATTCTACCAACCTCCACACAAGTATAAACCTAGAGAATAAAGAATTGTCTTTCTCTATTTCGTTTGCAAGAGGAGGTAAAACAGAACAAACCTGACATACTTTATAGAAAATGCAACTGAACAAAATGCAATTTATATGTATTATGTATAAATACTTAATGTTTCAACACATGCACGATATCAAATCTTTTGTTAGTCACCTATACAAAGCAACTCAGTTATATTACACAATACTGCTGCTGTTTTGCCTGTACCAAAGGAGCACAGACTGTACTATTTATACCCAAATTGAGCTACATTTTTACACTCTTGGATTTTCTTCTACAAAAGATATCAACTGGCATACAAGGTCGATACTCTGGAAAAATAGAATTGGCACACTGCAGAGGAAATAAGATGTATGCCAACATTTTTGTCATGTACAACTAGTAAAAAACAAGATTAATAATAATCATAATTATTTACAAGGCTTGAACAGGCAACAGACAAGGCTGAGAGCTGAGAAGAAAGGTCTATTATTTGGCCTAAAGATGGATTGTGCAGTTAGAGAGACAACCCCCAAAGAAAGTTAATTACAACGTGCTGGTGTTGTACTTACAAATTTATTGTTGTGAAAGCTACAATAAACTGTAATGTTGTTTCTTAAAAGCCCATCATTTTTTTTCTTTTGCCCAATGTTTAGAAAATAAATTGATAACAATATTTGGAGTAAAGTTGATTTTTTTTTCTCCTCTCAGGGAGGATACTCAGCATCAGGCATTCAAAGCTCAGGGGAAATGTTTGAAACAGCATTATGTGGACTTGGAATCTTATCAATTAAACATGTTTGATTTCCTTCATCGCAAATGAGGGTTTTTGCAAATGGTGCAAAGTTGCAGACAGAGTGACAAGGAGACTTTGAGGAACTGCAGCACACATTGGGATTACTTACCAGGATAATGCAAAACACACGCTGCATTTGTTTTTAAATTTCTTATTCTTGTTGTGAGTAAGCTAAGAACACCTTTATTGGGCAAAGTTTGGAATCCCTTTCAAATTGGGTCTTTAAGATTTGGCCGTTTGCAAAGCAAAAATGTGGAAGTAATCATGTCACACACCAAGAACCTGTACAAGATAAACAGCCAAAAGTGTACAAATTGTGTTTTACTCATTCAAAATACCTGCACGATGTAAAAAAAAAATTATCAGCATAAAAAAGCACAAAAATGGCAGTGAGTTTGGGTGAAGCCTCTGTTTTTCTTAACACTTGATTTGTTTGCTTTCTGCAGTAAACATTACAACAGGGCATACAGTTTATGGTACAAGCACCTTGTAACTACCATGCAATGCGATTCAGATTGAAACTGCATTCTTTCTCACCTACCCAAAAGAGTGGATATTCACGTGTGTCATCTGAACAAATTCCGAACTTGCGAAGCCAGCCTGGAGCCCTTCAGCCATGTCCTTCCCCGAATTTATACATCCACGAGTTTGCCCCCATCGATAATTGTTACAAACACAAAAACCACACTTCACTGCCTCAACGAGATAAGACCTTGAATAGTGTCGCCCCTGCTTTCCGTGCACCTCTACTCCAAAACCAGCCTATGTTCTACTGCTCTTCCCACAGTGAGAACTACAGCTTTAATAGACACATCCGTTGCTTGTGGATTGGGAATGGACACCCCTTCACAGCATTTTACAAAATTCCTTCATCTCTTGTTCCCCGCAAATTACCTCCCCCCCCACCCCGGAAAAATTCCACATAGCCAGTTCACTTCAGTCAGTTCCTGTAAAACCTCAAGGTACGATTCCAGATGGCATCACTGCAGAGGCTGAACAGCAAAACCAATTCACTGGTCTGTGAGATATGACAAAACAGCACAAATGTCCGGAATTGCTGAATTGTGGCAAAAAATTTACCCCTCACAGTTCATGACAGCAAACTGCCAAAACCCTCACTTAAAACCTGTGGTTATCAAAAAAAAAAGAGTACATTCCTATCAATTGCAAATTATGTCTGTTCTGAATGACTGAGGAATCATTTGAGAGGATCTCTTGCGTTCCTTTTATGTTTATTTTCAACTTGTAAGTCATTTCTGTTTCACATGACTTGTTTTCCTTGCTCTGGTTTTTTTTTGTTTGCATTTTTTAACACCCTTTATAAGAGCTATTAAAAAGGGCCCCAACACTGTTCTCATGATTTGTTGGTTAGCATGCATTCTTTAACAAAACGAAAATTCCAAATGAGTTCAGGCAATTTCATTTTGAATCTCAGCACAACATGATGGGTGCACCTGGTTATGGTTTGATTTCGAATAAAATAAAAGGGTCTATCTTAAACATGCAACTTTCAAAGCCCCAGACGGTCTATGAAGTACCTACATATGTACTTGTACATTCATTATGGATGTAGTACACTTCGGGAACATGTTTGAAAGCTGCTCAGAACAAAAATTGTACAACTGCAAAAAAACATAAGCTGATCACAATAATTAAAGCTAAAACCAGAAAAAAAGTTGAAGCAGATTCCGACATTACAGGCTGTGGATACATTTCCATGGACTTAAACATCACACACTTATATAACGGATTGATTTTTTTTTTTTTGTCCTTTCTTTTTGGGTTGGAAAGATTCGTTACTTCTCGATGGCATTGAAGAACCAGTCGGTGAATTGTTGGAGCTGCTCTGCCGTGGATGCTGATTCCCCCTGCAGTCTCTTGTTGTCATGGAGAAGTTTGTGGACTTGGCCTGCGAGCTCTTCTTTCTGTTTACGCTCCTGTGCGGTTGAAAAATCAAGGCAGAACTGGGGTTAGACACACCTTTGGGACTGAGGAAGAGCGTCAAACAGAAAATTACGTTTTTAGCATCCATGCTAAATTTCCATTTCTGAAAGGTTCATAATTCCTGTGTTACTCCTTTTTTTGAAGTTCGAGCACATGAACTACAGAGTGTCTGAAACTCCAGTAAGTAAACAGACTATTAGTAATTAAATCTTTCAAATCTACAAAAAAGGCATACATTTTAACATATAGGTGACCCACTCTGCAAAAAGGGTATTAAGTCACGCAATGCCAAAACAGTAATGGCCTGTTCTATCTGGAGAGGGCAAAATGTCTTCAAAAATGGGATTTTGTGTTTTTTCCTTTAATAGCTTCTATAATATCTATATTTCCAGAATTTGTGACAACAAACATGGATACTGATGAATAAAGATGAATATTGATCCTTCAGTAGGAAATCCTGGATAGCATTGTGTTTCCAAGTGCAATACTTTATGAGCTTTTTCTCGAAAGTGCTTTTACTGAATCTAAAAATGTGGATATACAAATGTCTAAATATCTCTGGAACGAAGTGCACTACAGGGGGCATTCATATATCAAATTGTAGCTTTTGATGTACAGAAACCAGCCATATCAAATACTCCGAACCTGAATCTGGCGACTTATTACCCATTTTTCCAGAGCCAGTCAAATATGTAGAATTTGCATCGTACCCCTGCTGACCATATATTATTTTGCAAACAGAACTCATCACCAATTTGTAGAAAAACTAAAACCCAAAACATCCTTTTCTACTGTAAAACCCATTTCTTTGTATCTCTATTTATTCAAATGAGATACATGACAAAGGAAAAGAGCTTTAAGGGCCCATACGCAGGTACCGATCGATGAAGGATGTTAATGTGTGGCAAAAGAAAAAACAGAGCAGCTGTTTCCTAGGGAAATGTTTACATTGAAAGGCAAACATACTGTGTGACAGGGTGAAGAACTACAATAGAACGTCGCTGTACCGAACATCGCTACATTCGGCTGTACCAAACATCGTCCTTGGCTCCCAATATTTTGTGCACAAAACCTACTGAACATTATGCAGTTGCAAATCAACCGAGATTCGCCACAGCATGCATCAGAGATCGATCCTGAGCGGTAGCTTCACGACTTTTGGGATAACTAAATTTCACTTTTGTAACTCAAGATTGAATAAAAAACAAAAAGAATTAACAGATACATTTCTAGAAACCTCAAACGTGAATGCAACAGCAAAACATCACGAAAACAGCGAAGCATAGTATCGCAAGAGGGTGCACTTCAGTTAGACAAGAGAGGGCGCTATTCAACATGGCAACAAAACGTTCGGCAGTTAATTTCGCTATACCGAAGGACCGCCACACCGAACATTTAGCGTGGACCCCGCCGTGTTCGTTATAGCGACGTTCCACTGTACTTTACTCAGAAACCTGAATGATTTTTCATGTACAGCAATTTGGTTACTGCCTGTCTATGTGAACGGGTGCTAACATGCTTGGCAAATCTGCAACATTGAAGGTATTTAAATTGAAATGAAACGGTTTTACCATTTCCAGCCTCTCCTGCGTTCTCCTGAGTTCCAGCTCCAGCTGTTGGGTGGATCGTTTCGCGGCGCTGGCGTCGAGTGTCGGGCTGGCGTACTTCAGAGTGTCGTAGTCAGTCTTGAGCAGAGGGCGGGCCCGGCGAGAGGCAGAGGGTGAGAGGGCCTCGGTACTCTGGCTCAGTTGCTTCCGCCTGTCCACGCTGGCCCCGCTTGAGTGGTGGAAGGGCTGGTGGGAAGGGCTGGCACCGTCTCGTAGATCGCTGAGCTTGTTGGAGGAGGCCGACTTGAAGCTTTGATGATCCAAGCCTGACAAATGACAATTGTTTAAAAAAGAGTAAAGGATCTAATCATTGACCACTGCAGTGTCCCTGCTGTGTGACTGTTTGGGACCAGCCTCATGGAGCTGCTCATTAGAATGAATTACCATGTTCACACATGTTCTGCTCAGCAACAGCTGGTAACTAGTACAGATACCACACAATGTGTGTAATGTGTCCAATGGGAAGAATTATAGGGCTGTGCCAAATATCCGAACATCTGGAAATTCGATCGAGTATCGAATATTCGAATATTATTTTCCGAATTCGAATATTCGAATGCAAAATTCATGAAAATGAAGGGAGAATTCTCTTTGTTTTAAATGCGAAAAATCACACAGTGGAGGCTTGTTTCAAGAAGACTAATATGAAAAGCAACAGAAATCTTACAGCGAGTGAAAAATTAATTTATGCATAACAAAATTTTAAAAGACAAAAAGCATTGTTCTCTCTTAAATCTTGCTAAATCATGGCTGGAGATACTCCCAGATGTGAGAAGCTATTACAGTGATTAAAAAGTACACTTTTGTGTGTTACTGCAACTGATTTTGTATATGGATTGTTCATCAACAATCTGCATGTCGGTATGAACGAATATTCAGATATTTGATCGAATTAAACGTCGAATATTCGAATAGTGAATTATTTGAATCGACTCAGCCCTAAATAATTACATGCTTGGCTGGTCTTAAACATTCATTAAGACAAGCTCAGGAGAATGGTCACTGATAATGTCCTTCACCTTCGGCTTAGGCATGATCACCAGCTACGGTATTCTCCGGTCCCGGCCCTAAATGAATGTTTAAGACTGGCCATGCATACATCTATTCCCATTCAAAAATAAGGACAAACAATTTCTTGCAATTATCTTCTGTTTTAAGAGCCTATCACTTGAAGCACTTCAACCTTGCTGGATTCCAGATGTTATCTGATATTGCCATAATGACAACCTTCCTATGCATCTGTGGACCTCACAGATCAAACTGAACTTCCATCAATACATCTTGACCACTACTGTGATTCATAACCCTTTTTGGTCATGCAAGATATTATCAAAGGGATACAACTGCCGAACTTTAAAGGTCAGATGCTGTAAAGTTGCAAACGTGTACATTAACTTTGTATTTGTAGTTGTGGGAGATGAGAGGAGACATGACCTGTTGGCTAAGATTTGTGACTTGTAGTTTGAGGGAGGGGGGGTTGAATCCAGCTGCTGGCCACGTACTGAGTCCTGAGGTAAGCTACTTTACTTCCCTTCTTCTGCGCCAGGTGGTATAAGTGAGTACTGATTTTAGCTGGGGAGATGTGGCAGACTGGTATCCTATCTATGCGGGTGGATACGCACGTATTTCCAGTCATTTTGAGACAAAGAAGAAATGGACAGACCTTGCTTTTTTAACTCCATTATGAGTAAAAACCTTTGTCACGTTGCAGAAATCTGTAATCTGTTTAACTTCTTGGCTATGCAATGCCCCTCTTTCCCCCAATAAACGCTCACCGTATGTCTTCTCCCTCGGCAAATGTGTGCCCAACCACTCCCCCCCCCCAAAAAAAACCCCAGAATGTACTGCAAGTAACAGAGCTACTTTTTTGAGTTATGAAAATACATGTAGGGCTTCAATCAAACCAAACCCCAACGGACGCACACCATAAGTATGTGACAAAATTGTCAAGTACATCTATATATGACTCTGGCCTCTAACGAGGCCAGAGTCATATATCAAAATAAAGAGCTTAACCTTCAAAGAGCCGAGTTATTTGGGCCCATTTTAAAGTCGAGGGGGATTCTGCCCCCCCTTCCGCTGAACTTGGCTGCACCAAAACTTGGCATGCATGCAAAGACACTCCCTAACACTACAAATAATTATGAAGTTTGAACTCAGTCAGACATATAGTTCTGCATGCATTGGGCAAGGCAGAAGAAAAGAGTACACGTGTACATTTGGGCTGACTTGTCTCCGAAAAGTGGGCGCTGCACAAGAACGTTAAGGTCTGATTTTCACAAATTGGTATCAAAATGCGTACAAAGAGCTACTCTAAAAATTCCTAAAGGCTCAGCCCCTCAAAAAAACTGCACTGCGATAATATCGGGATAAAATATTGAGGGAAGTGGATTCTGCCCCCTGGCTCTCTTAGGGTTGTTACAATGGCCTTTAAAATGCACATGAATATGAAGTCAAAAACAAACAAGGACTAATCTACATGATTTCACGGTGGTACAGTGTCCTTCGATCCACTCTGACACCTTTAAAATAAAAGCAGTTTGTTGTACAAATCTCACATCCATGTCAAAAATCCACACACCCTAACCACTCCAGCTTCGGGTACTTAATCATAATGGACAAAACTGATCGGATATCACCCTAATAATCCCCATCCTACGATCTCCTCTCCTCACAACTCAAAAGATGACCCCCAGAAACAAGTATTTCATTTATCCTTGACCATCACTACGAATCACCTTAACCCCTGGAGACAGGCCAGAGCTGTCTTTCACACGCGAGATAATTAACGGCTTCTGCGCCCACCGCCAAGTTCAAGGACCTATTTATTGACAAATATTGACCTCCAAAGTGAAGAGGCCAACCACAACGTATATCCTCCGAGTCACAGCCAACTGCTATGATTCAATTCCTTGAACAACTGACTCAGGGGCACTTTGTTTCAAACCTTTCTACACAGCCAAAGTGTGAAAACTAAATCTGGACAGCTTTTTTCATGGGCCATGTATCAAGGTCAGCCGTTGAGCTGTCATCTGTACAGTATCCTCTGTACAGTGTTACTCAGAAAACACAACTGGTACAGACACAACTGGTACAGACACAACTGGTACAGACACAACTGGGGGAGGGGTAAATGTCAACTGCCTATTTCAATGGGCGGCAAAACTTTACAGACAGTTCATCAGCAGTCGCGCCTGCTGTTGCCTTAAAACAGAATACATTGGCTTCATTGGTGTTCAAGAGGGAAGTACTGGGGGGGGGGTATTGTAATTCAAGGACTGAGTAATATCAAACCACCTTTAGTGTGCTAATGGCGGTGCAAGATGACTCCATGACTGGTGAAATATGCTTTTGTTTTTGTGTTAATGGCCAGTCACATTATACAAACCACTGCTTGGTGAAACAGTGACTCTGACATACAAAGGAACAATCTACTGGCATTCCGAATCATTAAGAAATAAGGCCAGAATAGTGAACTGCTTGACACGTCTGTTGGGACAAATAAAAGGCCAATGTTGGAAACGTCAAACGTAATTTCACCCCAAAGTGGTTCTTGTAGTGTTGTGAAATCATTTTAAAAGTGGGTCCATACTTCCCCTTGAGGTGGAACACATTTGTGCTTGCCTTTGCTTCTGTGAACTGATTTGGACAATGCCAGGTTGAGCCGATTTCAGGAGCACGCCACTCATTTAGAAACAAAGAATTTTACTATGGCCCTCAGGTTTTTCATTTCTCAGCAATTTCAAGCACCCCTCACTCAGCACGATCGTTGTAAAGACCCGAGACCCACAGCAGCTGAGTTGCTGGTCTCCGAGTTGACCAGGTAAACAGAAGACAGAACAGGAGACTGATCAGTTGACCAGTTGATGAACTGATTTATCAATCATCACTGGGTTGGTCAAGTCAAATCAACAATCCTGCTGACCACCAAACAGGTTGATCCGATTTGCTGAAGCACAAATAAGCTCAACAGCATTGATGTAAGTGCATATATCTAATGATACTAGTGCTAAAGGTGCTAAGCATTTATTATCCCTGCTTAATGGGACATTTCTCACACCATCTCATTACCTTCCTTGGAAGTACACAGCTCAATGCTTCCATTTCGGGTGCAAATGGCTAATCAAACAAGTCCCTCACAGGTACCCGTTTTTACTCCTTGGTGGAGAGAGGCAAGTAGGGGTAAAGCAACTTGCCCAAGGTCACAAGTTCAACATACTTGCCTATCCGCTCTGAGCCAGAACAAAAGAAAGCATGTTTTTAAAAGAAAATGATGGTCCCTTGGTAGGAACTCACTGCATAGGTGCGCAATTTTATGCGCGTTTGGCATGGGGCACGCTGAGTACATGCAAGAAATTTATGCTGGAATGTATGGTCTTTGCATGTGCGCCGAACGCGTGCAGAAACCTGGCTGATAATTTCTCATAAGATCACCAGCCTGTCTTTCTTTCACGGGTGAGGGTGCACTTCCAACTCGGGGCAGATTGCTGGATTCAAACCCCAGTCCTATGTCCCTGCATAATTTACACCATCAGAGGGTAAGCGGGAAGCACTTATTAAAAGCTTGCTTCGGTGGGACCCGAACACAGACAAGTACGGTAGCTTTAGGCTAACCAGAGTACTGGTAGTTTTGAGTCCAATATCAAATGTAGAAGCAGGTACCACAATTAACAACTGCCACTTCTATCAACATGTCTGTGCACAATTCGCACCTAGTTGACAACAACTCCGAATCTCTTGCTAGTTACTTCTCTCTGGCTGTGGACTAGTTCAGTTCAACCACTTAAAGTGGACTTCATGGCAGAGGTTGACTAATTTCCTCCAGTGGTTGCCTCTCCCAGGTACCCAGGTAATCCCCAGAAAAATTCCATGTATAACACCGCCACCGATGTCCAACACACCAGCCAGCAGCACAACGAACAAGCCGGAATCGCTTCAACTTCACCGGCAGGGGGAAGTGACACCACGAGGCATGACTTACACCCACAGGATATCGAGAATTATGCAAGGGGGGTACCCCCGTATAGCCACAGGGCAATGAGAAGAGGTAGGGAAGCCCGTGAAAGAGGGATATGAAATTGTATCTCATCACAGGATCTGACTGAAGGGTTTTTGATGTCAGGCGCGATAGTCATGAAAATTGTAAGCGAGGTGGTCTCCTAGCAGAGTTTACTTTGTTGACCCTCAGGGATGGCTTGATGAGATAAGCAGAGTGTGAAATGATCAGTGACAACAGCTTATGAATGTCACAATCAGTGAATGTTAT